AGGACTACAGGCGCCTGCCACTATGCCCAGCTAATTTTTTTGTATTTTTAGTAGAGATGGGGTTTCACCGTGTTAGCCAGGATGGTCTCGATCTCCTGACTTCGTGATCCGCCGGCCTCAGCCTCCCACAGTGGTGGGATTACAGGCACCCGGCCTATTATTGAGACAGGGTCTCACTCTGTCACCCAGGATGGAGTGCAGTGGGATGACCATGGCTCACTGCAGCCTTAATCTCCTGGGCTCAAGCGATCCTCCCACCTCAGCCTTTGGAGTAGTTGGGACGACAAACACTTACCATCACGCCTGGCTAATTTTTAAAATTATTATTCTCTAAAGAGAAGAGGTTGCACCATCCTGCCTAGGCTAGTCTCAAGCTCCTGGGCTCAAGAGATCCTCCTGCCTGGGCCTCCCAAAGTGCTGGGATTATTGGTGTGGGCCACCACGCCCTGCCTGAACTCTTATGTAAAAGATGATGCTTTTGTTGGTCACAGGGCCCACCCTCCTGTGCTTTCTGCCTGGCAACCTCTTCCCCAGCTTCTCTCCATAACTAGATTCTCCCCACTTAACATTCCACTCCAATGTCATCCCTGCTGAAACCAGACCATCCCTGTCCACTGCATCCAAAGTGACAGCCTCAATTAGGCAGTTCTTCATGGTGCCTCTTCCTCTGGGCCACAAGAAGGCCCACTGATGCCCCCAACACACCGCCATCTCACCTGCATCCCAGCCTGGCCTGGTCAGCCTTATTTCCAAGACAGATACTCACAGTGGTATTTTCCTGGGGACAGTACTGAGCGAGGAGCTAGATGCAGGTGTTACCCCTCCCTGCCTACCCATTCCTATGGGGGCACAGAAAGGCAGAGCCAGCCTGCTGTGGGCACAGCACCCATGGCAGTTTGACCTGAGCAGCCGGGGCTGGACCTGGCCCTGGCCCTGGGGACGTCCAGGAGGTAGGGAGGTTGGATGCCCGGAAGCCTTGGGCCAGCCCTTCCAGGAACACACGTGCACAGGGCTTTCTATGCTCTTTTTTGTTTTTTAATTTTTTACAAAACTGTGTCCCGACCAATCAGGACAGTGCAGGCCTCCCCCAGGCACTGAGGCCTGAAGGAGGAGGCCACCATGAATGAGCAGCTGCCAACCCCAGAAGAACTGTCTGCCCTTCTGCATAGGGGCCAGTGTGAGGAAGGGGTCCAGCTGGAGGCTCTGCCCTGTCCCCCAGGCTGCTGGGAGAGAAGGCCAGGCCCTGGGTCCCTGGTGCTCCTAGTGCCTGTAAGGAAAGGAGGGAGAACAGGGTCTGAGGGAGAAGGGAGGGCTGGGGCCAGGGCTGGGGCAGGCCAGAGGACAGCCCACAACATCTCACCAACAATGTGTGACATTATCCAACCACTGTGACGCCAATGATGACTGCTAGGAGGACGACGGTGATGGACACACAGATGGCAATCAAGACTTTCTTCTGTGGGAGAGGAGGGGGTCAGGGAAGTCACACAGGGTGCCTGGGGCAGAGGCCGGGCCTGGGAGGCTCACCTTCCTCGCCGCCTTCTGGTTCTCCAGGGCTGTCTTGACGTGCTCCTGCCCGCGTTCCACGTAGTCCGCTGAGCTCAGGATGTTCTTCTCAATCCGATTGATCATCTCCCCCTGCTCAGAGGATGGGGTGATTCAGGGAGGTAAGGATGCCTTTGCCCACCCCACCCCAGATGACTGAAGAGCATTCCTGGCAGGAAAAAAAAGATTGCACTAACAAAGACAAGGGCAAGACTCGATCTGACAAAAGTTCAGGTTCCTTGGAGATGGCTTCCAGGTCCCTTCTATCATGTAGTCCCTTGTCCCCTGCTCGCTTATCCCATATGACCTCTATCTGCAGTGGTAGCTTGGAGCTAAGGACCTCAAATGGCTCATACCTTTCACAGATGGTGAACTGTGCCTTCACAAATCTGTCTGAATTTACCCATTCTTCCAGGCCTATCTACAGCTGCTGCAAAGCCCTCCCTATCCCTGCCTCCTCCTGGCACCACCAGCCTCAGGTCTCAGTACTCCTACTGAATGAGATCTCTTTCCTGTAAGTCTCAGCTGCAAAAGGGCATTGGTTGTAGCATGACTGAGGCCAGCTCCTCCAGGACAGGGCTGGAAGCTCAACTCAACTCACGCAACCAGGGCCAGGGGAACACCGCCCCCACCCCAGCCTTGTACAGATGTTAGGAGGCAGCCCCTCTAAGGCAACTCTGACTGAACCTCTGAGAGGTATCAGGGTGGATGCTGTTAGTGGAGGGGGAGCCAGGGCTGGGGCCAGACCTGGGCAGGCTCAAGTTTTGGAGAGAGGGCAGGGTGCTATGCAGAAGGGAGTGGGTATCTGGGTAGCAGCAGAGGCAGGCGCCATTCTCGGGGTACAGCTAAGGATAAGAATAAGCACCAATTTGGGGGGATGGCCAAACCTGGAAGACACAAAAGCCTCAGGGAGAGAATCTAAGGGTGGCAGGAGGCTGGCAGTTTGGACTGAGCCTGGTATCACGTCTGGGGCTGCGCGGGGCACTCACCTGCATCTCCACTTCAGAAGCCAGAAAAGTGAAGATATCGTGCAGCTCACGAATACTGCGTTCAAGCTGCTGGATCTCACTGTGCCGGGCCGAGATCTCATTTAAGGCCTGTCGAGTCACTTGTGTGTCCTTCAGGATCTAGGGGGTGGGCAGGAGTGGGGCAACTGTTCACAGGGAGACCGACAGCAGGTCAGAAGCTCCTGTTGAACTTCTGGGGAGCCCTCAGCCCGGAATCTGACGGATGACTCCAGGTTAGCTAATTAATTCCCTTAGGGGCCTCAGGGTCCCCTCAATCAGAAAGGGACATAGCAAGCGGAGTGCAGTGGCTCACACCTATAGTCCCAGCTACTCGGGAGGCTGAGATAGGAGGATCACCTGAGCCCAGGAGGTCAAGAACGGGATAGGACTCAGAGGGGATGGGAGGCACAGCAGAGAGGGGCTGGCTGTGGCCACTCACATTGGACACAAACACCTCGCTCTGCCCACTATCCAGCATCTGCTCCAGCTCCTCGTCAGACACCATCCCAGCATTGGCTGTGAAGGAAAATGCCAGGCTCAGGGCTGGGTTGGGATTACCTGCCCCTGCAGGCCAGGCTGGGCACACACAACTCACTGATCTTCAGCTGCCTCCGGATCCGCTCCACGTTCTTCTCCCGGTATTCGGACTGCATTGAATTGCACTTGTTGATGAGCTCCACGAATTGCTGGGACAGGACCCCATGCTAAAGATGAAGAATATAGGCTGAGTGCCCCGGGAGGATCCCTGCCCGGTCTGGGCCTTGGCAATCCCATAGTAAAGTGAGCAAATAGCATGAGCTCTTATGCGGGGTCTGCCACCTTAACCACTTTGTGATGACCTTGACAGGCTCCCCCATTTCTCTTAGACAAAAAGCCAAAGCCCTTAGCAAGTCTATGTGGCCCTCCATGATCTTTTTTATTTTTATTTATTTATTATTTATTTTTTGAGACAGAGTTTTGTTCTTATTGCCCAGGCTGGAGTGCAGTGGCGCAATCTTGGTTCACCACAACCTTGGCCTCCTGGGTTCAAGCGATTCTCTTGCCTCAGCCTCCCGAGTAGCTGGGACTACAGATGAACATCACCATGCATGGTTAATTTTTGTATTTTTAGTAGAGATGGGGTTTCACCATGTTGGCCAGGATGGTCTCAATCTCTTGACCTCAGGTGATCCACCCACCTGGGCCTCCCAAAGTGCTGGGATTACAAGTGTGAGCCACTGCACCTGGCCTATTTTTATTTTTAATAGAGACAGGGTTGGCCCGCATGGTGGCTCATGCCTGTAATCTCAGCACTTTGGGAGGCTGAGGTAGGCAGATCACCTGAGGTCGGAGTTCAAGACCAGCCTGGCCAACATGGTGAAACCCCATCTCTACTAAAAATACAAAAATTAGCTGGGTGCAGTGGTGGGTGCCTGTAGTCCCAGCTACTTGGGAGGCTGAAGCAGGAGAATGGCTTGAACTCAGGAGGCGGAGGCTGCAGTTAGCAGAGATGGCACCACTGCACTCCAGCCTGGGTGACAGAGTGAGACCCTGTCTCAAAAAAAAAAACAAAGAGAGAGATGGGGTCTCGCAATGTTGCCCAGGCTGGTCTCAAACGCCTGGGCTCAACCAATCCTCCCACCTCAGCCTCCAAAGTGCTGGGATTACAGGTGTGAGCCAAGGTGCACGGCCAGCCCTCTATGATCTCTCCTTCTCCCATGACCTCTCTGATCTTACTTCCTCTTACTGTTCCCTCCCTCCGCCCATCCACATTCGTCTCCTTACAGCCCTCCCTAGACAAAGCACACTCTCAGCTTAAACCTTTGCATTCACTTCTCATTCTACCTAGAATGCCCATTCCCTGCAAACACCTTTAAGTCTTTTGTTCAGATGTTACCTTCTGAATGAAGCTTCCTCCACTTGCTTTGAACTGCAACTCTACCCTCCTCCAACATGCTCAGTCCCTCTTCCCCTGCTCTTTTTTCCTTAATGCTTATTATGTTCTAAATAATTCACTTATTTATTATGGTGATTGTCTACACCAGAAGGGAAGTTCCATGAGGATAGGGATCATTGATTCACTGCTGTATCCTAAACAGTTCCCAAAAGGTCTGGCACACAGTAGGCACCCAATATGTAACTGCTGAATGCTTGCTGAATGCCAACCTTGCTGCCTACACCACAGTTCCTATGCCTAGAGATGAACATGCTGCCTGGGCAAAACAGGTGCAAAAGGGCCACATGGGCCCTTGACCACTCATGCCAATCACCACCACAGGCTTCCCCAGAAACACTGGCTCTGGGGCATCTGCTCTGCCTTGGCCCTTCTTCTGAGGCCTTAAATATGCTCATTCCTTGGAGTTCCTTTTCCAGAGATACATCTGCTCTCCTGGTTCCAGCTGCACCCTTCCAAGATGCCCAAGCTGTTTCATCTTCAATCTGGGGTCCTTGCTGAGCCCTGGGCTCAACTACTCCAACCCTGACCTCTTGCCTGGTATCCTCCTCACTGGGGACACAGAGAGGGCCAGTCAGATCACTGCAAATCTCCTTACTAAGATATCACCCCAGGGGCCGTGCACGGTGGCTCATGCCTGTAATCATAGCACTTTGGGAGGCCAAAGCAGGTGGATCACTTGAGGTCAGGAGTTCAAGACCAGCCTGGCCAACATGGTGAAACCTCATTTCTACCAAAAAATATAAAAAACTAGCCAGGTGTAGTGGTGTACGCCTGTAATCCCAGCTACTTGTGAGGCTGAGGGAGGATTATTGCTTGAAGGAGGTGGAGGTTGCAGTGAGCCAAGACTGTGCCACTGTACTCCAGCCTGGGCGACAGAGAGAGACTCCATCTCAAAAAAATAATAATAATTAAAAAAAAAAAAGATATTACACCAGGGGAGTTCCTCTTCAGTGTTGCCCCAGGGAAGTTCCACTTCCTGACTTCTTGAATTCCACCTGTGGGACTAAGGATGTCCCTGTCACATAGATAGCAAACCTGCCAGTCAATTTGTGACTTCTCACTCTCCTTCCCTGGGCAGCGCCATTAGCCACCAGATCCCATGTGAGTAATGTCTTTATCCCCTATTGAACCCTAACTCCTCATGTTGACTCCTAGAAAACACGTGTCCCAGCTGGGCGCAGTGGCTCACGCCTGTAATTCCAGCACTTTGGGAGGCCAAGGCAGGAGGGTCACCTGAGGTCAGGAGTTCGAGACCAGCCTGGCCAACATGGTGAAACCCCGTCTCTACTAAAAATACAAAAATTAACTCGGCATGGTGGTGTCCGCCTGTAATCCCAGCTATTCAGGAGGCTGAGGCAAAAAGAAAAGAAAACGTGTCCCACAGTCAAGCCTAGGTCTTGTCTGGGGTCAATAAGTAACTTCTTATTGAATGGAAGAAAATAAAGCAGGGTGTTATAACCGGACTGAGTGAGCATCAGGAGACCTGGTTTCCTGACCTTGAGCAAGTTCTTTCTCTCTCTGAGCTCAGGTTTCCCACTTGGAAAAATCATCCAACTGGACTCCATGACACCTGCAGGCCCTTCCTTCATACATCTGTCATCTAATACTTCATGAAACATTTGCTGAAATGTCATTTCTGAGAAAAAAAACCCACCTGGGTTTTTCTCATTCTTGTGTTGACGGAGTTATAGTTCTCATCAGCTTCCTCCTTCTGAGGCTCTATGGCTGTGGGAAGACACAGGGGTATTGGGGGTACTTGTCTCCATAGGATTTTTAGGGAAATATAATTTATCATAAAATGACTAAGGCTGAGCCTCCAAGAGGAGAAAGTAAGTTTATTTTTCTTTGCATTACATCACTTGAGTTCCCATAGGAATGCAGAGGCCACCTAACAAAACTCCATCTCCCTGCCCAAAGAATGCCCAGTGGGCAGTGATAACTGTGTAAGTAAATGGTTTCATTGAAAATAAAAGAACCTGAGAGACTGCCTTGTGCTGTGGAGAGTACAATGGCCTGGAGGCCAGGAGACAGAGATGCTAGAACCAGGCCTGCTGTGTGACCTGGATATATCACTGGCTTCTCTGGGCCACACACTCCCCAGATATACCAACAACAGGGCAGGATCAGAGGGAAGGATCTGCCTGAGGTCCCAGTAGCTCACCCTTCAGCTGCAGGCGGATCTCCCTCCCCAGCTGTTTGATCTCGTCGCGCAGGTTCTGCAGCTCCTGCTTCATGCCTGAATAAGAGAAGGCTACGACTCCCAAACAGCAGCCCCCACCTCAACAAACCACCCTGGCCACCACCTGCGTGGAACTACAACCCCCACAATCCCTGGGGTGGAGCATGCGCTATGCAGCCGGGGTGTCACTCACTCTCCTCAGGAAGGGGCGTGGCCAGGATGGTGACCTGCTGTTTCTCCAACTCCTGGACTTTATTCCCCAGCTTGACAATAGTCTGCCGAATTGTCCGGACCTGGGGAGGGTGACCGAGAGGGCTGAAAGAGATATGGGGTACTCCAGACCACGCTGCTCCTGGGGTCCTCCTACCCCCTCGCGAATCCAGGCCAAGACTCCATCCCCTTACCTTCTGGAAGAACTCCTCGTCCGGGCTCCCCAGCCGTGCCGTGCCCGGGTGCACCACCAGCGCGACTCGCTCCTTGTCCTCTTCGTCCGAGCTGTCATCCCCCTGCCAGGCCCGGAGTCATTGGCACCACTGTTTCGCTGCGGCTGTCACCCCGCAGGACCCACAGGCTTCCGGGACTTTCCTTCCTGGCCATCAGCCACCCCTCCCTACCCCGAAGACCAGGAGTCCTGCGTTCCAGTTCGTCCGCCCGCCCCCATCCCCGCTGCCCTGGCGTCTCACCTGCCTCAGCTCGTGGGTCCTGTCCCGCATGGCGGCCTGAGCTCTCCCTCCCCGGCGTCAGACCGGGAGGCCCGCAAACTTGGAATACCCGTACCCCACTCACACTCTGACACTCCCCTCCCTCCCCCTGCGGACCCCAACACCCCCACGAGCCACCAGAGCCTCCGTCCCTTGCACCGCCCACAGTCAATGGGAAGGCGCCGACCCCGGGGACCCCCCAAGGTTCCACAGGTTGGAATTCCCTTTTCTTCACCCCTCCAGCTCCCGCAGCCTCAGCCCCGCCCCTCCGTGATAAATTCAGGGCATGCGCATATGGTCGCGTCTCTTCCTCGCCCGAGGCTGGGAAGGTGGAGTCGGAAGTTGTTGCGCCCCGAGCGGAAGCGGAGCTGCCTGGACGCGAGAACTGGCTACCGTCACCGGAACCGTTGCATCTTCCAACGGAAATCTGGTTGCCAAAAGGGGTAGGAATACGTCATTTGTACGTAATCTGAGGCACCCGCATCTCACATCACCCCATGGTGCCCCCACCGCGTCACGTGACCAACCCGGTCCCAAACTCGTGGACCGCAGAATGTGACGCTGTGACTGTCACGTGTCCCGGCTCTGTCAGCGCCGTCTCTGGGACGCTGTTTTCATCACGACGTCCCCGGCACTCCGACCACCGAACGACGCCCACACAGCCCCCGCGAGGTGGGGAGGGGCGCGCCCACCACCCCCAGAGGCCTTTCGAGGCAGTGGGTGGTAGGACCCTTGCTGACTTCGCCTTTATTGCTTTCGGGTCCAGGGGCGTGGGCGGACTGACGACTTAGCATTTGGGGCTGTCAGCATCATGGGACCTTGAAAATCGGGAAATAATAGGATCCGAGTCGTCAGCGTCAGAAAATTGCAGGGTTGTGTGGGCAGGGAATCTAGGGGTGGGAAGTGACCTCAGCCAAGGCAGAAACCTCTTCTTCCGCATCCTCCTGGCGCAGCCTCTGACAGGTGGGCAGCCAGCCGGCGCCCTCCTTGAACACTACAGCCCGGCTGCACTCACCACCTTGTGGGCTGTCAGACCATGTCAGGGCAGCTCAGGCTAAGAAAAGTGTCTCTAGTGAGCACGCTGCCTTCCCTGCCACTCACACCCCCCAGACCCTGCCTTGCATCTGAGGCAGGTAATGACTTTGTTCTTAACTGAATCTGGGGAGTTCCTAGCTCAGTACCAAGCACATTACAGGCCCTCTATAAATACTTGTGGACAGAATCTTAGCCTTTCATGTATCTGAGGATGAAGACCCTGGTTCCTTGGTCTTCTTTAGGCTTCAGTCTTTCTGACTGTGACACTTCTCTAATCCTGGCTATCGAGATATTCACTCATTTTTTATTTTTAAAAATGTTTACAAGATGGGGTCTCACTATGTTGTCCAAGCTGGTCTCTAACTCCTGGGCTCAAGCAATCCTCCTGCCTCAGCCTCCCAAACTGCTGGGATTACAGGCATGCACCACCATGCACAGAACATTCATTTAATGGATATTTTTGGGCACATACTATGGGCCAAACACTGTTCTAGGGCTGGAGATACATCAAGGACTAATAGATAAAAATTCCTGCACTCGTGAAACTTAAATTCTCTAGAAGGAGTCCCCAAGGTCATTTAGTAAGTCTCAGCATAGCTGGGAATGAATAACGGGTCTCCTGGACCCCAGGGCTCTGTCCAGGAAGCTTCTGTGAAGGTACAAGCAAGGAAAGGAATGGACCCTTTCTGCTATGCCCTGGTCAGGAAACAGATTCCTGGGACTGGGTTGCTATGGACTTCTGGAAGTTGCTTCCTGTCTCTTAAGTGTCGATCTCCCTCTGCACAGTGGGTAACTTGGGGGGATGGGGAGATCATCTTTATGGGTATGGGCTGCTCTAAACTTCAGTGATGATGAGGTTGGAAACTGTCAAGTGCTGTCTGATTCTATGTGAGGATTTTTGGCTCTTCTCTTCCTGTTAAAACCCAGCTCTAGCAGGGTGCGGTGGCCTATGCCTGCAATCCCAGCACTTTGGGAGGCAGAGGCAGGCAGATCACCTGAGGCCAGGAATTGGAGACCAGCCTGGCCAACATGGCGAAACCCCATCTCTACAAACGTACAAAAATTAGCCAGGCATGATGGCAGGTGCCTGTAATCTCAGCTACTCGGGAGGCTCAGACAGGAGGATTGCTTGAACCCGGGAGGCGGAGGTTGCAGTGAGCTGAGATCACGCCATTGCACTCCAGCCTAGGCGACAGAGTAAGACTCCATCTCAAAAAAACAAAACAAAACAAAACCCAAAACCCAGCTAGTAGGAGAGTGGTTCCCTGATCAACCCACAAAGGGAATGCGGGGTTTTTCAGGAAGCCTCCCCTGGAGATGGTGAGGAAAGATTCCCTGCTCCCGGGTCTTCCATGTCAGCCTCTGCCTCTTCAGTCACTGCTGCTTGCCTCCCGCATCTTTTGTCCCCTACCGCCCGACCCCCTTCCCCCTCCTACTCTGTGTCTCTGAGTGGCACATGGTGGAAGGGCTCTTGGACCCCTGACTCATAGTCCTGCATGGGATCTTAAATAATGCATTACTCCTCTCTGGGACTCAATTTCCCCATTTGACAGCTTGGTCCTATAATTTCTGCCTTGCCTAAGGTAGGACTTGGACAGTATCTAGTGAGGTTAAGAAGGATGTGGAAGGGGCTGGAAAACTGTCGAGGGTGCCCTCCCCTCTGGGCTTTTTTTCTTTTTTCTTTTTTTGAGGTTGAGTCTGGTTCTGTCACCCAGGCTGGAGTGCAATGGTGTGCTGTCAGATTCAGTCAATCCTCCTGCCTCAGCCTCCCAAGTAGCTGGTACTATAGGCATGCACCAGCATGCCTGGCTAATTTTTGTATATTTTTTTGGTAGAGACTGGGTTTCGCCGTGTTGCCCAGGCTGGTCTCAAACCCCTGGGCTCAGTCGATCCACCCACCTTGGTCTCCCAAAGTGCTGGGATTACAGGTGTGAGCCACCGTGCCCAGCCTCTCTGAGCTTTTAGTACTGTGGGTTCCAGCATCTTCTGGGCCCCCGGTCCCATCTGCCTCTTTGTTTCTCAGCATCTTGATGGCATGCCGTCTTGATCCACTAAACTTCTCAGGATTATAATATTCATTATTTCATTTGTGGTCTCTGGATGAGATTGCAGGGTTTTGGAATGGTGACTTAAGGTCACAGGAAGCTGGACTCCAAGCCTTGTGCTAGTATGTGGAGAGGAAAGAGGCCATTTAGAGAGATTGGCGCTGGGGATGGAGCTCTCCAGAGCTGAGCCCTTTGTTCCTCTCAGGCCCTCTGAGCAGCCTTGAAGTGGATATTAACTATCTTAGGCTGGGTGCAGTGGCTCATGCCTGTGATCTTAGCACTTTAGGAGGCCAAGGTGGGTAGATCACTTGAGGCCAGGAGTTCGAGACCAGCCTGGGCAACATAGCATCTGTCTCTACAAAAAAATGTTCTTTTAATTACCCAGGTGCACTGGCGCTCTCCTGTAGTCCCAGCTACTCAGGAGGCTGAGGCAGGAGGATCACTTAAGTCCATGAGGTCAAGGGTACAGTCAGCAGTGATCTTGCCACTGCATTCCAGCCTGGGTGACAGAGTGAGATCCTGTAT